TAATTTCGCCAGAGAAATAAATTCTAAGACTAAACTCTTAAAAGCACTAGCATCTAAGGCTATCGGCTTGTAAAACATATGTTAACTTTTATATACATATATATATATATATATATATATACATGTGGTTTTTGTGGTAGAATATATATATATACATATGTATATGCGCGCTACAATTATCGATGTGGCTTTTATTAATGCTTTTTTTGGTTTATTTTTTTTTTTAACATCAATTTCACAGATTTTTGCTACAATTTCGTTGATTTTGTTTTTTATATAAATGCATTGCATTTTTGTTTTTTTTTTTTTTTGTTTCTTCTCTTTTATGTATGCTGACTACCAATGAAAATGTTACACTCCATTCTTCATTGCCTTTGTATCAGGGGTAAATGCATACAAACGATATCATAAAATATAATAATCTCTTGATCGACTAGGACTAGGTTGTCCATCCTTGATCTATCCTCTTTAAGACTTATTTTTCAATTCGATCTGTCTTTTTCCTTTTTCCTTACTACATCTCAAAGTGGAAGTACTTTTAAAAAACAAAAAAAACAAAAAAACGCTCATAATAATTAATTATTAAAGCAGTGAATATATGCGATCGCACTTCCATTCCTTCTATAGCTGGAGTATACATATTTTTTAATGCTTTAATATGCTTCTTTTTTAGCATTTTTTAGAATAAAAATTTTTAACTTTACATTGGATCCGCAATGATTTTGTAGGCAACAATAATATGCGACTTGAAATTTATAAAATTATCCGTTCGCTTACTATTAACTTTTCATTTTTTTTATTTTCATGTTTGAGCATTAAAGTAGTTTTGCTTTGTTGCATAGTAGAATTTATTCAGCATTTACTATTTCAAGTGCAGCTCCTTTTGTATAGATTTGTGGGAATTTTTTGCTCATTTTATGAATTGATTTCCCTTTTTCGTGTTCTCAAGTGTTCAATAAAATGGTAAAAGTTGTTTAACAAAAACAACTTTACGCTTGTTTGATTGTTATGGAAAATGTAGTGAGTCGATTTCTTTTTTTTTGGACCATTTTAAAATATTTTACCCAGTTACCCTATGTACTATTGATTCAGAAATTTCATCAAGTTTTTTTTATTGAATATTTGAAAATGTGACGTCAGAAATACTTTTGATTTTTAATTAGTGCAACATTTTAAAGCTCTATAACGCAATAAAGAAAGCATTAAGAGAGAAAGAAGACAAATATATTCAAGATGAAAGAAGCGACGCATATAGTATAGTTAAGCTGGAGTTAAGCTAGAATTTATGCAAACACGAATCGTCGTTCGATAACGCTGTCCGATCACAAAAGGAATTGCGAGGCGAATTGAAGAAGAAATAAGCAAAATATAATGACAGGTGCAGTAAAAGTATTAAGGCGGCGGCTTTCTAACTTTTTGCAATGACGCTTCGTTGTCACAACAATTCTATGCATTCGGAACAAGAAGGCAAGCGAAGCAGACTGAAGAAAAACTAAAAGATTTCCAAACTATATTTTACTATATCTCGCCGAAAGTCATTTTCTGTCGTGTAGCTCTTAACCTTATAGCAATGGAAAGAGAGTAGTGACAAGTAGGTGGTTTGGGCATTCCTGAAAGGATGGCGTTTTTTTTTTTTTTTTTTAAGAGCTTCAGCCGTTAAATAACAAAACGTTTCCGCTTTGCCACATCTTCGTTTGTTCGGACTGCCAATATATTATTTTTTTGAATCAAATTTTGGTCTTTTATCTTAATATTTGCATCTTTCAAAAATCAAATAGTAAGAGCTAACTAACAGATATGTACATTACGAAAGGAAAGATCGATTTTATTAACCTTTTTTGTTAGATTACTACTCAGGATCTCTGGAAGTTACGTAGATTTGTTATGTTAATTTTAGAGCCAATCATGGCCAACTTAAGCAAGCATACTTAAGAAGCTAAAAAGTACGTTTCTAATTATTTTTCTCAATCAGAATGAAGACTACAAAGCTTGACATTACCTAAATCAATAACGGGATAACAGCCATAAGATGAACCGTTTCTTTCAGTATCGCGATAGGACTTTATATACAGCGGGTTATACTTCTTATTAAAATTTCTTACAGCACTTACAGTGCTAAGCGTACTGACGTTTACTTTTCATGAGAGCACTTATGTAACGATGTATCAAAAAAAAAAAAACAGAACTACGCAGTCGAGACTAAAATTTCGTCATAACATACAACAAATGTTTTAAAAAAAATGTCGTCTCACTTGCGAACATGAGTGGTCATAACCCTTAGCACCCAATAGCCCTTTCTTAGCCCTTTATTGGACTCCATTAAAATATCTTGAAAATAACGTCACGTGTACGTGAGCGGCCATTAGAGAAACAGACGGACAAGATATGGTTAAATCTGTTCAGAAAACGATTCTATCGCAATTTGTAGAATAACCAGTAACACTATGCCTAGATTTTCTGCTGGTGGCATACACTCGCACTAGTTTAATATATACTTAGCACAAACTTTGCAGGATGTTATATTATAAGCCTATTTCCGGACAATGGGGGAATGTTTAAAATTATTAGCAATTTGCACGCATCTAAGGACCATGCATATAATTTTTGAATGAAAAAAACGTACATTCGAATGGAGGAATTCGTCTCCTCTCTTGGTATCTTATCGAAATTGGAAGAAAGGCAGAAGAGTGATTGTCTCTCTATATAAGGTATAAAAGGCAGCAGCTTAGGATATTCCGATTATATGCAATCGAATCGGATTCTTTTTCGTGGATGTGATATTTTATATCAGTTGTTTTTTATACAGCTTAAAAAGCATTACACTGGATCTGTATTGCGAAATATTATTTAACCAAATGGCGAATAAAACCGTTAAAGCTCAACACTAAAAATATCGTTCTATTATTATTTTCTAACAACTTAATGATCACTGAATTGGATAAGCCACGTTACCGTTCACTTTCAATTTTTTTATCACGTTCACGTATTTTATCATCACAATTTAATTAGTTGCGTACATACGTTACTAGCTTGTAACATGCATGCGACATATGTTTACATCAGCCAATGCTACTAATTTGTTCGAAATTTATTTTTTGTGTTTTTTTTTTTGTTTTTTTTTTTTTGTATTGTATTGTTATTTATCATGGATGCACAATAAGCCAAAGCGGTACATTTCCGCTCAAGGTGGAAGAGACATAAGGAAAGTAAACTTTACATTAAATGACTGAAAATTTGTTTTCTATGTCAACTCTTTTACAATCAAGCGTATACGTACGCAAATTAATATATATATATATATATATATATATATATGTATGTACATATACGCACGTACAAAGTGTGTCAACATCTGTTTTAATGTGGCATAAATCATGAAATCGTTTTGATTATAATTTATAGGTACGACAATGAATGTATCATATCTGCTTACGTGTATAAATATCTATGAGAGAGAGAGAGATATCTCTTCAATCAGCTACCGCAAGACGGTGAACGAAATGTGGTTAACCATGAACGCAAACCAAGAGATAAAATAGCAAAAAAAAAAAAAAAAAACCAAAACATAAGGGAGAGGCGAGAGACTTATAAAGTTATATTGTTTGCGTGTTGCGTTATATTTGAAAACTTTCATATCGCAACTGTTGAAAAAGGATAATCTCTTTCAAGCTCTAAAGCAAGAGCTTAATATCAAAATTAAATATTGAAAGAGTTTCTTAGTTTAAAGAAAAACTTCTCATTTCCCTTCAGGTGTTATAAATTCTATGTGCGAATATTGTGTGAAGTTGCTTTTCGAAAGTTAATTCAAACAAAGCGGAAAAATGAAAAAAAAAAAAAAAAAAAAAACAACATAAATAAATAAAAATAAATAAATAAAAATAAATAAATAAATAAAAGAGGAAAAAAGCACTACTAACACAATTTATTGTGCGCAAGGTCCAATTTGTCTATAGGCAATTGTCGAATGCATTGAAGAGAGAATCTAGCAGTTGAGAGAGTAATACCCATATATAAGAGATTGAGAGATAGACATAGACATAGAGAGAGAGAGAGAGAGAGAGAGAAAGACAAGAAGATACGCATAGCCAGGAACCTAGGCAATGAGAGAAGCTTGAAGCTTATGTTAGGCCCTTTATTAAACAATTGCGTATAATAACGCAATAATGAATATAAACACTAAATGTATGTACGTGCTTGCTGGTTGCTTTTGCCTCCACGCCGCTTTTGGATGCTTAAGGAGTCAGGCTCCTTTTGTTTTGCTTGTTGTTGCTGTTGTTGTTGTTGTTGTTGCTTTCGTTTTTATACATTTAAAGCATTCAGCATAGGAGACACCGTGCGGCGTAGTAGACGTCGTATAAAATTGAGCGTAGATATGACGCAAAAATGAATTCAGTTGTTAAGTTGGTGCAGTAACAGTAGGACTCATAAGCTAAATAGAACGGTTAGATAGATACACATAAAGCGAGAATCAAAATATTTATACATGAGAGTTGATGTATATTTAAGACACTTGAATACAATTCTATTCAACGCTAGTGAAGTGAATATGAATGAATGAATATTAAGAAAAAAAAAAAAAAAAAAGAAGAAAGAAACAAAAAGAAACGATTCAGCGAAATTTAAAACGACCAAATAAATAGGAATATAAATATTTAAATTGAATAAATTAACAAATTGCGGACAAATCATAATTAAAATTAAGGTTATATGTTTAATAAAAAAAATTTTAATTAGGAAAAAGAAACAATAAATAAGGAAGCAAGATAAAATAATATTAACATATATATATATACATATATATGTTATATTATATATATATATATATATAACATATATATAAATATAAATATAAATATAGATATATATATATATATATACACATTATTAATATATATAAATATATATATCTTTATATATATATCTATATATATATATATATATATATATAGCAACTAACTAAAAAAACCATTTACTCTCGGTGTTGCGTTATTTTGTTTAAGTGCTTGCTTGCGTTTGTGCCTCACTGACTACACTCGACTCGGCCAACCATAAACTCCTTTTAGTTTTGAGTTATGTTGGTGTTAGGGTTGTAAGTGTATGTGTATTGTATACGTATACGTATACGTATACGTATACGTATACGTGTACGTTTATGTATGTGCGTGAGTTTGTGTATGCTGTTGTTTTTTAATTGCACACCATCTTTTCTAAATTAGTGTGTGTCATCGTTGTCGACATTTTCAGCGTCTCTAGTGTCTTCTACGTTGTGTGAATTTAATTACTGGCATTTAAAATTAAAAGAAAAAAACAACCAACAACAACAACAACAACAACAACAACAACAACAACAACAACAATTACAACCAAACCTAAAGAAAAACTCTAATCATTATATTTGAGTATAAGTGAATAGGTTTGTGTTTGTATGAGTTTGCGGTTACACTAATTTACAGCATCACATTTGTGTTGACAACGCCACCATCAAACGAACGAACACCATAGCAAAGCAAATATCAGTGGAACACAATGCCAGATACGATTTCTGTTATAGATCACAGAAGAAGTAAGTAAGACAAGTATCTTTTTCTATTGCAAACACATGCAATACTACGTTTTACGCTAAAGTTTTACCTACGTGTGTGTTTACGTTCATATGCACAGTTCATATGCATTAGGAATGATGCAAAAACCTTTTTTTTTTTTTTTTTTTTTTTTTTTTTTTTTTGGAATTTATTCGCAAGATCAGTGCCAACAGGAAACTGTCGTATTTTGATTTCTCATCTCACGTATTTCAATGTTTGGCATAATTTTTGTTTTTGTTTTTTTTACTTTTTTTCCTAAAAATGCTTTTTCTTTCTTTCTTTCTATTTTGTATTTTTGGTAAGTGGATGATCTGTATTGTTAGACACTGTACTTGTGTACTTACTTATGCGTAAGTACACCGCAATTTCTGTAATAGAAGCACAATTTAGAAATATTTATGGCATTTTAATTACGCACTTAGTTTGTAAATAAATGGTTAAAAAAAAAAAAAACGACAACAACAACAAAAAAAAGAACAGAAAGTTAGTTTGCTAGGCATCGAGCAAATCTTATACATATATAAATGGCTTTCAAGTAATTATTACATTGTGATATGTGAGCGAACACCTTTTAACCTCACACTTGTAACGAACTTATCGATATTTTTGCAAGTACTTAATGTAAATTAACGTTTACCTCATAAGTATAACTTTTTATAATTAATAATAACAAAAAATTACATTAAAAAAAAAAAAAAAAAAAAAGTAAGCAAAGATGTGAACTTTTAATATTCACCGATCGAATATGTCCAAAAAAAAATAGATTTGGCGCTAAGATATGTAATTAATTGAAATGAATTGATTTTTTTTATCTAACAACTATGAAGTTATCGTAAAGAAAAATAGCAAACAATGATATGACGGAGTTCACAAAATAAAAAAAAAGATAATCAAATAAAAGAATCGAGTACGTTAGTCAACATATGGATAAGTGAATGGGGAATTCTTACTACTACTAGACTGGCTAGACGCGATTTGCCATCTTGCCAACTTGAATATTTCGCTTGGACAACATATTCTTGGATATGATTTTATTTTTCCTATAATTTTTGCTTTTTCACCTTCACTTTCAAGCCTCCAGTGTCCGTGCTTAGTACATTTATTACCTCTAACTAAGGTTCTTCATCATTTTCTTGATGACGTAAACGCTTGCTTTGTTTTTTTTCTCAGTGCAGTCGAATTGTCAATATTATGTACATCAAGCTTGTGTGCAGTGGTCATCGACGAATTAATATCACGAGCAAAATTGTTGTTGGAAGAGTGAAGTGCTCCCGTATAGATTGAGGCGATTAAGAGCTTGGTCCAAATATACGCTGCGAGTATTTCTTCCTCTAGAGTTGCAATATTTTTTTTTTTTTTTTTTTTGCCCAATTCCTAGTTCAAATTGTAACCATTCCTTAAATGTGTTTTAAATCAATCATCTCGTGATTGTTGGCAATTCAACGACGCCATGAAATTTGAACTGATCTTCTGATAGGAACAAAGTTCATCTGAAATCTACTCTTTCTCTCTAAATCCTATCAATTGTCTTTTCATGCAAAACAATTTCTGGGCCCTTGGATCATGATGATGCATGCTTTGCATGCTGTCACAATTACTCGTCAGCTCTTGAATAAAAATCAAACTAATATTCCTTTGTATTGTATTTATTGTCTTTGCTTAATATGACTGCGATTTGTTATTAGCTTTCTGATAATCCTTTTGAACCGTTACTTATATTTAAAGGCAATTTGAACAAACATATACACAAAAGAGGATCCAACAGTTAAAATAATAAACCGAATGAGACGAAATTTCCCGGCAAATGCTTATGAGACTAGCGCGCAAACTAAGTAGAAAAGGTTCGCTTGACAATAGAAATGCGTTTGCATTTGCGTTTCTGAGCATCGTATTGTTTAAACAACTTTGCAATTTTGCTTGAACAAATTGCAAAGTTCTTTTCAATAAAATCGAGGCGCTAGGTATTCGGTCGTGTATCGCATGTACCTCTCAATAAATTTCCTTTTTTCTTTTTTTCCTTTTTTTTTTTTTTGCATAACACAAAAAGAGAATTGAGCGTAGCTTGCTTTCTTCACGCAAAATTAAATTTCTATGTTAAGAGATTCTTTAATAATAAGTTTTGAACAAGTTGTTGAACAACTTTGAAGCATAGACTGAAAAATCAAGTTTCTTACTCACAAAAGAGTGACAGACAGCATGCAACCAAAGCAGTTATTATTTTTATTGGTGTACAAGATTCAGAATAAGGCCACGCACCATATCTGGCTTATCGGCGATACTTTTCATTCTTAATTCTTCATCGCAGCGAGAAAGTTTACTACGTTAAGTAATCGATTCTAAATTCTTCTTTTAAGCGTGAACCGGCCGGCCCTGCTTTTCTCAATAATCTAAGAATGCCCAGTAAACGTTTATACGTAGGCCAAGTAGCTTGTTTCTACAGTAGATGCCATATAAACTGATGTTCGCTTAGAAAAACGTGTGAACGGGACGTTACCCATAAATGAGATTAAGTTTTTGCTTACTTTTGAAAGGATTTCACTTTTATATCAAGACAGACAAATAGTGTGAATATTTCATTAAAATCTCTTATTTGAGTAACAAATCGATAGCGTATGCACCATCCAATCCTGTTTTGTATCTTATATAAGTCTGTCAAGCCTTATTTATGTGCATGTCGCAGTGAGCTCTTTTCACTTCATTTCTTTGGATCATTTTTCGATTGTCATAATTTTTTCTGGCCCTTATATATTCCTTTCTTCAGCCAATTACTCCGCATTTACTCATATCCGCCCTAAGACAGTTCAAAAAATGGCATAACTAATTCTGCAGTGTAGAGTAATAGTGCTTTGCCTCTGTTCCAAGTTCACATAAAAGAATGAAAACAATGCAATATTAACTTTTTTTATATTTAACCAATCAATCCCTCTTTTCTCCCATATGCTGGAGCAGTATTTGCGAAAGCGAAAGAGATTCGTTCATAGAAGGAACACATGGATCTTGTATCGTATACTACGTACTATGTAAAGTATATGAAAGGCATAATGGACATCCGTTTGGAATCTGCCCCTCTTACAATCATCTTTCCGTATTATTCTAAACTATATATCAAGAAACCTGCAACGTAAAAAAAAAAAGCAGAAGAGAGACCCTACACTGCTTCGTTTAATATAGTTATTCGTGTAACGACCTTACCAAGGCAAGGCTTAATATGGCAAGTGGTGGCAAGAGTAGTTCTATCCGAACCATTTTCAATAGCGCTGATCCATGTCGGTCTATCAAGTTTTATTGAAATGTTATATCTCGAAAATGGCGACCTGCAGATTGAATATAGGTTGATAGATAGGCTTAGATGAATTCATAATCATACTCATGTAATAGAAGGCAGTTCTGGATCCGCACAAACGTAATACATATAACCTTATAGCATAAGTTGTTTAGGGTGTAAAACGCTTACTAGGCCAGTTACGAATCCTTAATCCATAATTTCGATTTCGATTGCTCTTACCTGAATTCAGTTTCTTAGTAATGGTAAAAGCGTTTAATGCTGATGAAAAATTTCTATTGTATCTTATTATGATATATATATATATATATATATAAGTAAGGTCTTTTAGCTATATCCATCTGTCCGTATGAACGCTTTCGGACTTTCCAGGATTGCCACATGCCTATAGTGAAAATTCAAATTAAAATTAGACCACACAACTGTTCGTAAAGTGAACTTGTAGTTGCAAGATGTAGGAGTTGAGTTGAATTTCAGCAAATTAAATTTTAAAACATGAACTCAATCATAAGTTATTTAACTGCTTTTTCAACCAATCGGTTGTTTTGCATTGATCTGGTGGTACGCTCGCACTTTATGCTTACATAGCTTCATGGTTGTAAGATAAGGGCGTCCGTTAGCTTTTTTTTTCTTTCACTTTTATTTTTTCACTTATTTATATAATTAATTTAATAGTTTCTTGCTGCTTTCATCTAAAATTTATATATATACATATACACACATATATATATATATATATAGTCTAAGATCTGCATTTTAATGCGCAGATTAGTTTGTACTCGACTGGTAGCAATTGTAGTAGTGAGTCTTATAAATGGACAACTAAATAAATAAATAAATAACAAAAAAAAGGTGAACACAGTGCACGTATTGTATGAGTCCCAAAAATTTATCGATAGCTTGAAATGAATTGGAAACGTTTCGGGGAAGCTTAGTAACCACTCAGGCTTAACCTTTTTTCAATTAATATTCATTTAGGTAAAACTTGAATGTTTGTGAGAATTGTTCCTCATATCGATTATAACGCATTGTATTGCTTTGCCTTTGCCGTTGCCTATGCCGTTTTGCTTTTTGCCTTTTCCTATATTATATGTTATATGGATAGGCCTCCATCTCTGTTAGGAGGATTATTTAGGAAAAGCAATGTTTATATTTTGCTAATAACTTAAAGCATATACTATATGCCTGACATTTACTATATGCTTGTCATTGCTTTGAGACATTGACAAATTAAGGGAAGATAAACTTATACATACAATACATACATACGTAAGGCCAAAGGCGAATACTTGAAATTAACAAATTAAGTGTCAAACAATAGAGCAATCAAGCGCCAAATAATAAACATTATGACCATTTCGTTTGATACATGAACGTTAGCGGTTACGGGTTATCTGACGGTTGCTCAATAATGACCAGATTAATGCAGCTTTTCATTGATTAATTATTTTATATAGTAATCACAGAGAAGCCAGTAATTAATTAACTTTAACATAAACATAGTAGAGTAGAAGAAAGAAAGAAAGCGAACTTCATTAACGTCACTGGAGTTTGGTATTAAGGTTAAAGTAGACGGTTTTTTTCTTGCTCTTTTCGATGAATACATTTTTGTGCAGCGTATGATAGCTTTTTATGAAAAGTTGTTTAGTGCTTGGCTCCCAGCCCGGAAAGGATAAAAACGTTGTTCATTATTATTTAGTTGATATTTTTTGATTATTTTCCGTTCACAAAAAGTTGAAAGCTGATGCTTAACTCTCTATTATCTCTGATCTCCCGGCTTTGGTGTGACAATGAAATCACCAACAAATAACTAAACGTCAAGATAATAAAAAGCGCAAAAAAAAAAACAAAAAAATAATAATAGTAATAATAATAAAGGAGTAACGACTGCTGTTATGTTCAAAATGAAAATATAAATAAAAGAATAAATAATATTTTGCACACAGTCAGGTACGAAAGTGTTTCTAATATTAATTATTAATGACTTCCATTGGCGAAAATTTGCTGAAGCATAATAAAGCAGTTAAACAGTTTGAGTGATTTTGTGAAGATAATGTCCTTTCCAAAGGTATAGCCGTTTATTGCGGGGGCCATAAAAGTTGGTTGCGCGACCTAGAGCATGGTTGATAGTTGCTCCTTGCACTTTGAAACTCCAAGCGGGCCGATGAGTCGAGGGCGTCCAGGAAGTATGGAAAATCCAAAAGTAAGGATATGTTCTTATCTACGAAACAAGTAGTGCCGATAATCCTAATGCATTACCAAAAAAAAAACTCTGTCCATTCACTCCAACACCATATTTGCTCTATTATCGCTAAGCAGGAGTTGTGTGCGTTTCAAGATGCTTCAGTGGAAATGGTTTATGTATGTGTGTGTGTGTGTCTAACTGGTGGGTGCGGCCCAGCGGCGAATAGTCGTCATGGCTGTGGGGCATTAAATAACTGAGAAGGGCTTAGCAGGCCTCGTCTTGCCCCGAGAGGAAGGTATGGTTCATACCAAAACTATTATATCTGGTCCGTCAGTTTTTGTATAGGGTTTCTCGTTTGCAAGATTGCCTAACCACCTGAGGGATCCCGAAAATCATTCGTAAATTAGCCGATAGGTCTACAAATCTCGCTTGATTAAAGCTTCGAGGGCAGGTGCACAGGTCAAGCATAAACACTTTCCGATTACATAGAGTTGATGTAGACATATCTTTGTTGTAACGTCTGGAAAGGAAACGATAAGAAGTGAGCGTTTCACTGTCTAGAGCACAAATGAAGATCACGGATTTGTTTTTTTAATCACGTGCAACGCAGTCATACATAAATTGAGATGATTGAGAGAAGCCGTTTACTAAATTTGTACAACGTTTGCTCACACTAAAGCAAACGTATCTGCCTGCAAGTTGATAAGACAAATGCATGAATTAAAATTCGCATTCTTGCTCCATTCACCCTACACGCCAGATGTAGTCTTCGGCGACTATTGTTTGTTTGCAAAATAGATTCGAGTCAATGCGAAAACTGTAGGGTGTTTTAAGTCGTTCTATTACGAATGCATCGGCAAGTTAATGATTACATCAACCTTAACAAATTAAGTCGTATTTTTACAGTAATTTCTTAGATATCGTACAATTGATCAATGCAATGCCTGTTATAACAACAATATATTCCTAGTAACTGTTTGTGGTAAATTTTCGATCAAAATTGATGCAGTATAAGCGAGGCCGTAGTTGAATGATGCTTACTTTCACTCTTTTGTTTGCGATTATTTTAACGCTCGGCGTTGGATGGACGAAAATATGGACGGACATAAATTGATTCAGAATTATCTGCTAATGTAGACTATGCATACTTTATGGGGTCGCAGATGGAGAAATAAGTCTGAAGTAATCCTATCCTTGGATGATGAGAATAAAATTCGTCTACTATATGATCTATCTAAGCATATACTCGCCAAGGCTTTAATTCCAATCTAATCAATTTGGCTTCGGCTTTCTATCTTATCAATCGTCGTAATCATGAGTGTCATGAGTGAATTGTGAATTGCTGATGGAAAACATATACACTTTACAAGTCTAAAGTACTTGTAACTTTCGATGGCGTGAATGAAACTCTCAAACCAAAACACGCGATAAATTTCCATTTTTTTTTTTCTTTATACTGTAAACTATTTTCGAAAACAATTTAACCCGTAAATAACAAAAAATTTCATCCATAGCTACTACTACAACTAAGATCGAATGTTGTTTCCATGTTTTTCGTTCTAACTATGTGACATAATTTAAATTCAATTTTAAATTTTTGCATGAATTCCAGGTAATGGATACTTAAGATTATCCGAGAAATGGATATTGATATTGTTGTTGTTATCTTCGTTGTACATATATATCAGTCTATAAGTTTTCTTTTTTAAAGTGTATTGTTTTGTTGGCGAGTGTATTTGCTTATGTATATTATAATGTTTGCGCAATAGTCTGTAGAAAGGTATAACACTCACATATGCACACATACAGCTATACAGAATTCATATATTATATTTAGTAACAGCGCGGCAGTTGAGTCGTCGCAGGCATACATACCTGCATGAAAGCACGCTTACATATCCGTATACGCATACAAATGTAGATGACAAACAGAGAAGACTTTCTGCTTGATAATGTACCGAGCGTACGTGCCTTGTTTAAATGTATGTCGATGTGTCATGTTAATATCAGCTTTTGTTTTCTACAGCATATGAAACATTTGATCATCTACACGCACATCCATAAACGTGTAAGCGAATACATGTAATGTGTACATGCGTTTGTGTATGTATTCATCATTCATGTTGCTAAGAATAACATGTTTAATAGGGAGTGTATATATATATATATATATATATATGTAGTTATATTTATATAAATATAAGTATGTGTGTACATGTACGTGCGCGCATATAACCGTCTGCGTGCACTTACACGTAGCATGTTCTTTACTATTATTTGACTTTAATATGCATTTTAGCGTTATATTCAGAGCATGATAAGAGTAATGGGTTGCAAGAGTGTGGGCGTGGGTTGCGGTTATGCGAACGTGGGAGTGTTATAATCCCTTGATAGTTCCTCCATTAGAGTCAGATTATTGCTCTGTTGTTTTTTTTAGTACTGGCGGCGATGGTGCTGGTGGTGGTGGTGGTGGTGGTGGCGATAGCGATGACGGTGGTGAGAAATTAATTAAACTTGTTGCACTCGCTATTACTCAGCAAACATCTGTAGCTAGGGTGTAAGGGCCAATTTGACAAAAGGGCCTGCGTGTTAACATAATTCCTATGTTTAACTTAAAATTATAAAATTAATCCTTTGGGTGGCCACCTTATCATTCACAAACAAACAAACACACACACGCATGCATGCACACACACGCAACGTATATATTTACACATGTATGCCTAATTAAATTTAATTGCCGAAAAAAAAAAATATTTTTTTTACAAAAAAAAAAAAAAACAAAAGAATTTTTTTTTTTGGCACTTATTTCAAATGCTTAAAAATGTGAATAATTTCAGATTGTTCTTCTTCTTTCTCTTATTTGCCAGTCCGCCAGTTATCAAAGCTTTAAACGTTAAATAGCGCATTTTATTAAGAAAACGTATATTAACAGATGTCGAATAACAAAAGGGTAGCAGATGCTGTTGCCTCTTGCTAGTGCTTGTTTTTCCGGTTCCCGGTGTTTTGATAACTGCTTTTGTTGATAAGTTGGCATTTCTTTTTTAAAATTGATTGAAAATTTGTTTACGCAAAAATGAATAAAGAAAAAAATAAAAAAAAAAAGAACAAGACGAAAAAGAAGAAAAACTTATCCTATGTTTAATATTTTCTATGTTCACTTTTTTCTCACGAGTTGCTCTCTATTGCGTTTATCCATTTTACAGTCACTGAAGATACCAATGACAAAGCTTCGACGTGTGGCAAACTCCTGATATGTCTCTCGGTGGTTTTGGTTATTCTAACATTACCCTTTAGTTTATTTGTATGCTTTAAGGTAAATATGTTCATATATCCCACGAACAAGACTACACACATATATATATATATATATATATATGTGAAAAGAAAAAAAAAAAAAGAAAAAAAAAAAAAAAGAAAAAAAAAAAAAAAAAAAAAAAAACAGAAAAAAGTTTATAGCATACAATTACAATTGCCATTATCATGCTTGAGTTGGCAAGTGCATGTGTCTGCGGTTTCGTTTGTATTTATTTTGGACTACTTGTCCATTAAAATGTATTTATTTATGTGTAAAAAATTTTTCTCTTCTTTATTTTTATTTTTTTATTTTTTTTGTACTTGTTTCTCCCTCATCTCGACAATATGCAGGTGGTCCAGGAATATGAACGTGCTGTTATCTTTAGATTGGGTCGTTTAATGCAGGGTGGGGCCAAAGGACCAGGTACGTTAACATTATTTGCTCAAGCTGCTGGTTTTGCTTTTTCTTTTTAAAATTTTCTATGCTTTTCTTTATATAAAAAGGCAGATAAAACATAAATTTATACATTTACTTGTACATATGAAATATATATATATATATAAATATATAAAAAGTGTCCATTTCAATATAAAAACAAAACTTTAATTCTTCCATCACTCCTACACACCAGGAATATTTTTTATACTGCCCTGCATTGATTCGTACGCCAGAGTGGACTTACGTACCAGAACATATGATGTGCCACCGCAAGAGGTAAATATTATACACATCTGGCTCTCTCTCTCTCTCTCTCTATATCCATATATATATATGCAAAAATATATATGTATATATATATATATATATATATATATATATGCGTGTGTGCGTGTGCATGAGTCTTTAACTATATCCATGGCAAATTGCAGTAATTTCCTAACCAGTTAAGTATTCAATACATTCTTATTATAAAACCATAAAAGAAACCTCTTCAGTATTTTGCAAAATAAGAAAATGGATTGAAATCAAAATTCAATGCAATTTTTATGAAACTATATGAATAAGTGATTGATGCAGGAGAAGATAGCTTCGGAGATTTATTTTAGGAATTCGAAATAATCTCTAGTAATGAAATTGAATGAAAGTAAGCCCAATAGTAATCAAGATGCTTGCTACATAATATTTAAACTTGTAATTAATCGGAAAATCGAAATAGAAACTAAAGTAATTAAGAGAAATTAAAGTAATGAATAAAAAGCTCAAGCCAGGCAAAGAGTGTAAGCGGATTGAAAGCTAATCAGCTCTCGGGAAATAAAAATTTATTTTCATTCTATTGCATAATTTTCATTTATGCTTAAACACACTGAGTTATATGCAAAAGTTATTTATGATATTTCCATGGTTAGGTGTAACTATTATAAATCATCCGATGCAGACTAAGATTGACATCGCATAGTGCGTGTAAGAATTTCTTAAGGCTATTAAAAAACTTTTTCTATGCAAATTCTTCGAAAGATTCTATGCATGGGATGAGCAGAGTAATATAATCGAATCAGTTTATAAAGTATATAGCTCTTTAGAGCTTATGGGCATTTACTCTAAATTCTTCTCTTCGCGTATTTGGTATATGGAATAGCAAATAAAACAACTAAGAGAATTATATTCCGGCGTAATCGAATCGTTTTACACCCATCACCGTTATCCTAAAAAGAACACAAAAAAAATAGTAGTAGAACTAAAAAAGAATCGTACTCTACAATTTGGAATGGGTTTGGATGATTTTTTCTATTGTCACATAGACTTATGGGCATTGTAGGCGTGTCCTTTTCAAATTTCTATGCAAGAACTGTAGGCGATATCTTGAGTGTTAACGGTAGATACTACGCAGTCGAGTAAACGGTACAGATTGGCAGGCGAACAGATGAATTCCAAATTCGACAGTGGACAAGAATTTATATACTTTATGGGGTTTTTGAACATTGCTTCTGTGCCTTATAAAGTTATTAAAGGAAAAAAATTACATTTTGATACACTACTGGATATAATACTGGATAGACGCGGCCGATGCGTTTCCATTCTTGTCGAGCTACTACAACAGCAACTAGCAATAGAATAAAGAGGTCAAATTTTTGACCTCAAACGAGTAAGAAGAAAACATATATTTTTTTGAAAAACAAAGCTGTTGTCACTTGTCGCGGTAATGTAGGCGTGCCATTCGATCGCTTACAGGAGTTTCCAATGTTTCAGCCAAATTTGAAGTCAATAGCTTCATTTTCCCGGCCAAGAGAATGGTTACATAGACGGACGGACAAGCGACGAATAGACATGGTTAAATCGGTTCAAAAGTTAATGCTGCTAAAGAATATATGTAATTTGTGGGGTCTCCGAAGCTGCTTGCTGGGCGTTACAAACGTTTTGACATAATGAATATACTGCTCGTCCTTCAGTGATGGGTATAAAAAAAAATTGATAAAAGATACTTTGTCGACAACCAAACATTTATTTGGATGAGCTACTTATTTGTGGAAGGAATCTCAGTCGGCTCTCCGCGAAAAATCTGAAATGTCTTAACTTCATCAAGCCTTCAGCCACGTGCGTGGACATGTAGCTTTTTATAATGACAATTAAAATAAAAGTTTGACATAAACTTAGTCAATAAGAAATCGCTTCACAAGAGAAGAGCCGCACTGATAACACCATTTCCAGCATGTTTAGTTCGAGATGTAAAAAAAAGTGAAATAAATTCTCGGCAGTTGTGTGTTGTTGTGTTGGTGTATTTAAATGAAGCGGGAAAATAATATTTGATAAAAATAACAATAGAAGTCTGAAGCATACGTAAATGAGATTTTAAAGAAAGAATCGCAGGGACTTTAGCATTTTATAAGCAAAATAGCAAACGTACACGCATGTGGAGTGGACAGTTATCGTTTTTCGTTTGTCGTTTTTCGTTCTATTCTTAACTCAATATAATCGTAAGTACAATTTAACATTTCATGTAAGCGCAGACTGGTAACTTTTTAAAACGGCTTTGCTCGCGACGAGCAGGATTAAGTGGATGGCAGTGTTACGAAAATCTCACATATGCGTTTGAAACCAAATTAAAAAAAAAAACGAAAATGGAAATGGAAATGGAAACTAAACACACATTTATGACGCTTTAGCTGCCTCATGCACCTGGTAACTGGTGAAAAGATTAACAACAATTAGCAGAATATTTAACGCAATAAAGGATTAACACAAACATGTCACGTTAAAATTAAGCACTGGTAAATTGCTTGCAAAAGGGTATATAAGCAGAGCATAGAGTCACTCAAGGCAGTTGAATCGTATTATTCGCCTTATTCGTCAGGTTGAAACGAAAATGGAAAAGAAAAATTTAACTGAGACTCAAATCGTGACAGAATGGAATGCGAAAGCAATGAGAAATGAGATAATCGATTCACTTTAACTTGCCTACGGAGCCTTTTGAAGAGATGAAGAGATACCTTCACCATAAAAACAACAATTAAGATACATTTCTATAGAAATATATCTACTATGGGATATGATATCAGGAAGGCCTTGCCAATGTCTCAATGTCGAGAGAATTTCAGGCATGTGCTGTGATGCTGTGATGAAGGCAAGCATTGAGGAACAGTATAAGAAATCCAAACCAAAGCAACGGATTTAAAGAACGAAAGACATAAACTATTTGTAGAGACATTCCGTCTGAGTGGCCGAGCAGGGCTTCCAATGAAGCCGATTGCCTTAGATTTTAATGCTTTAAGACACTAGTCTCAGTAGCTATTTCTTTGCCTAAATTAATAATAATAATATTTCTGGATAATCTATTCCCAGGAACGTTGTTGTTAAAAAGCATTTAAAGACAAAGGATATGTTCCTCGCCTGGTACTATAAGAAAAAGAGAATATCTGAGGAGTGAAGCGAGCTCGTTGCACAAAAGTATTTACGAAAGCGTGATCGAGAATCAGTTACGGTTTGTACATCCTCTGAAAATATTACATGTCTAAAGTAGCGCCTGTGAGGAACCTAAGGATAATGTGCAATGTATGGGACCCGTAAAAAGAAGAAATACATATCAATAGTAAGACTTTGTGCCCTGAAAAACAATATAATAAATTTGTGGGGGGTAACGTACGCATCTGTACGCCGCAATAAGTCAAAAATTTTATCATCGAATTGCTTCTCAATTTTTTAAATATGTTTATGGATCCTTTTCAATCAACAGCAAAGCGTTAAAATGTCTCGTCTGTCTGTCTGAAATTTAAAATGTCAATATTTATCACAATGATAAAAAAAGTGGACAAGCCAATAGACAAGGCAGACCGGTATCTTTATGTGATGAGAAACCAAAAAAAAAAAAAAAACCAAAATTGCATTAGAGTTAATCCTGATACCAGAATGGACGGATCCCCGCCAAAAAAGAAAAAAAGAATAAAAACAAGAAAAGAGAAGAGAAAAATGCTTTAAGAAGAAGTTATCTAACGTTGCGTTTTCGCTAATTCTTCTTCATATATAAAATACGGGATTTTTTTATTCAACAGTGATGTAGTTTTCAACAAACATCATAAACTAAACAGCAACACAATCCAATTCAAAATGTGTATACGTTTGTGTACGTGCACTGAAATGATATAGTCCGCTATGCGTTGCTGCAAATGATAATCTCTAATCTGTTAATAATCGATATTTAAGAATTCGTTCATAAAGTCCAATGGAGCGGATTAAAAAGAAATATGCAATACTTTCGTTACTAATTACAAAAGCGCTCGCTGCCGAAGTACGAACGTATACTAGATAGTTTAGTTTTTGCCCTCTTGTTGAACTTTCAACACTATGTATATAACACCACATATATATATATATATATATTTACATTTATGAATTGAATTAATTTTATCCATATACTCGGTGTAGTTAGTTGTCTTAAGTATATTTATATGAAATTACACTCAACTTTCGCTTTAGACGAAAGGCCAAACAATATTGATGCTTGGCAATAAGATCTATGTCGAAGAATTGTGCTGGGGTCTTTTGTAAAAAAGCAGCCTTACAGACTACGCTGGATACGGGCAGCCTTCTTAAATCAATCGCACCCGGATATAAGTGAAAGAAAATAATTTTTCTGCAAACATGATGAACTTTATTCATGAACGTAGCGTTCTCCAAAACTAATACGCGTTCATCCAATCGTTTCTCTCATATTTCGATAAACGATTTGTTCACACACACACACATTCAAAAAAAAAAAATGCTTCAACTTCCGTGCTGGTTACTTTTCCCTGAAATATGCCTTTGAGATTTTGTAAACAGCTCGGGAGAATGTTGTGGAAATTATCAGTGATTTACATTTCAAATTTCTGCAATTTTGTACAAAACAAAAAAAAGCAGGGGCAAAAGCACACTTCTTTTTAATATTTTCACAATGTCAATTATCTCTTGCAACTTCACTTTTCAATTATCAAAAATGATATGGACAGGCGTCGTTTGGGGATTTTGAGTGTTGATCCTGGTCCTAGCTATGACTATGTAGAGGTGGATTTAGTTCATTTTTCAACGTTTGAAGGCTCCGTAATTTTTAGTTTGTTTCAATTTATGAACTCTTCCCCTACCCGATTACTTGTCGATCGGCGTTTTTAAAATTAAACTTAAAATCGCAAAGCTGTCTATTGTTCGTATGTGTAAATATTTAAATGATGTATAGTCTTTTGGATGTAGAATGTGTTATGTTATAGCAACAGCATGTATTTGGCAAACTATTTCTATGCTTCCTATTTGTTAGCCAATAGCTTATGTAACATGTTACGCCAGTAATGCTTTACGTTAGTTTTTTAAAAGTTTTTTCAAAAGAAGCCAATGACAACATCGAGATATGTTAGGTATATCGAAAAATGTTTTAACCTGCACTGAATACATTTTATTAAAAATAATATGCAACGCACAAGCATACAAAACCATTTAAAAACTCGCGACATATTACGTCACTTAAAGTTACTTGCATTATTGCTAAAGACTTTAACGTAAATTAAATTTCTCGAGGAGCTTGGAATATATAATGAAAATTTAGAAGCCCTTTTTTCCCTCTCTCTAATATCCGAAAAATATTGGGATGAAAATTTTACGGCATGTCATGTACGCTTGCCGGTGCTATGGTGCGTGAAAAAGTGATACCCATTAAATATTTCAGGAGGATGATCGAGAATTGCGGTAGTGCTCGCGAACGGGCTCTGCATTTTCAACTGATTACATTTGATAGGGCAATGTTAAAGTTCGGTCTCGCAGTCAAGCGCAATAATTTCACGCAGGAAAAAACTTTAAATTGTATTAGCTTGTGAATTTACGTTTTTACAATTGTTGAACCGTCATTGTCGTTATATTTTTATATATGAAACTAAATTAATTAATATTTTTTTTTTTTTTTTTTTCCATTTTTTTTTTTTTTTGTAAATATACATGTGTGAGCGTGTATGTGCGCATAGTATGGATTTGGTTTGTTCGCATTTGTTCCGTCATTCATTCATTCATTCATTCATTCATCCATTCATTTATTTATTTGTGTTTGTGTTTCTTACATATCTCCGCCACTCCGCCCTAACCGCTCTTTTTATACATATATTGCAGGTTCTAACAAAAGATAGTGTTACTGTATCAGTGGATGCTGTCGTTTATTATCGTGTTTCGAATGCAACAGTTTCCATAGCGAATGTAGAAAATGCCCATCATTCTACACGTCTACTGGCGCAAACAACTCTACGCAACACAATGGGAACACAACACTTGCATGAAATACTCAGTGAACGTATGACAATTTCCGACACGATGCAGGTACGTGCCTATAGTTGTACATTCAAATATGCTTTGGTCTGAATTTATATATGTATATGTATATATGTTTATATATATATATATGTATGTGTCGATACGTGCATATCTATGTATGTCAGTTTACATTAATATTTTAAGCGTTTTTTTTTTTTTTTTTTTTTTTTTTTTTTTTTTTTTGTTGCTTCATGCAAACTACATGCTGAGATATATACGTATAAATATTTAAGATAGAAACCATTTGACAAGTTTCTGAGTTAAGTGTATAAGCACTTTAATGTTTTCCGTATTTATTTATTTATTTTTTGGAGGTAGTAGCGGGACAACCGCATGTAAATAAGAGATAGATAGGAAAACTTTTTGGATCAGTACTTAAAAATTTTGTATTTTATATTCGTTACTTCCGTCCGAAGGTATGGTCTATGAGTCATAACAAATCTGAGATGAGCGCACCGTTATAATGAAAACCAAAAAAAAAAAAAAAAAAAACGAAAAACATTGTAATTGAAATTCAACCCAACATCCTTTCGCTCCTATAGAATGGCGAATTTTTATCAAAATTGATATAAATTGCAAAGAAGAAGAAGAACAAGAAGAAGAAGTAACCAATAATCTTTTTTATAGGCCAAGAGAAGTATTTACCTGCTTATAATAGTACCCCGTTAATATATATATATATATATATATATATATCGTTGAAGGTGCGTCGATCGTTTAAATATTTTTCAAATTTAATTTCTCAAGTCTCTGCTCATATTTTATCAAATCAACAAAGCAATATCTGATAACGATCGTAAAGGTTGTTTGACTAATTCTAAATATATATAAATATATATATATATATATATGTATATATATATATGATAAAGTGGTACAAGAAATTTTATAGATCATATCTTCGAACGGAAAGAATATTGTATATACAAAGAGATTTATGAAATTTTAATTTTCTCTTTTTCATTGTTAAGGTGCAACTAGATGAAGCCACTGATGCCTGGGGCATTAAAGTCGAACGTGTTGAAATGTAAGTTAACTTCAACTTGAGAGTAAATTAATTAAGCCTAGCTAGCCGTTACAAGCTTCTTGAAAGAAATACTACTTTTTTGCAGTCTGAGTTCATTTATAAGAACTCTTGTCTCATTATGGGTCAACTATGTTACTTTCATAACGTAGACAATATTCAATGTTTCTTTGCTTATTAAGTCTATATTTTGCGCTGCCCACGCAGCAGAAATATGCAATAGCACGGCATAGGATTAATGCAAATTAATCCGATTTAAATTGCATCTTATAGATAGTCGCCCTTTTGCATTAATTAGGTTCACGTGCTGGGCAAATTGTTTTTAATATTATTTTTTATTTAGTTTTTTTCTTTAATAATTTCGAAAAAAAATCTTAACATACACATACGTTCACACAATGATACGTTCTTCTTCTTCTCTTATTCAACAAATTAACAAAACGAAAATTCCCTGAGATATGTATAAAGTCGTCAATTGCATATATTGTAATAAAGCCTTGCATCACTGACGATAGTTAGGCCAACTTCTCTTCGGCTCTCGTTTTTAACGCAATTGTGAAGAAAATTTGACGAGTGAAGAGCACTGCAAATGCTCTAGAAAATGTGATCAGAAAATTTGCGTAATCTGTTTATGGGTATTCGGTCGTCGTCACGCATGGTTGTCATTACAAAAATCGTAGTTGGAATAAACAAATGTGCTATGATCGTTAATAGACTGTTTTTATGCGAGCCCACATGGCAATAAAGTAGAATGTTTCTCGAGTATGGGTTCCCTATAGCGAGAGAAAAGTGTCATATCGATTAGCGCTCTTCCTCTTTATCCCGCTAACTTGCTGGTAAGACGTTGCTTTCTATCTGTTACAATAATTGTGCGACATATAATAATAATTTCAACAAATTCAAAGTCGGCTATCCAAAATACCTTAGCCTAGTTGGCTCAATATAATTCGTCATTTACTTACCTACGTCATGGAATATTAAAAATAATATATATTTGGATAATTTTTCATAAGAAAATTTATATGGAGATAAGCGACAGATATATTGCAAGTCTGAAGGGTCTGAAACTTTTTTGGGCGTTTTCCCTGTGTTGTGACATCAAAGGAATATAGTTAAAAAAATAGGTTTTCTTGGTGATAAGTTAAGATCGGGCTAAAAATTTCCGTGCAATTGCTTTAGCCGTTTCATCTTTATACCTGTGGAAGACAATGGTCCAACAATCGTGTCCATTGTTAAAATTGGTCCAAGGAATTCAACCGAAATGCAATTCCTCGACAAATTAAAACTAAAGACGGACAAACGGACAAATAGAAAAATCTGTTAGAACCATATAATCAATAATATAATCACTCTATGAGATCCTAGATAGCTACGTACGTACTCGAAAAGCTTAATATTGAGATGGTGTTAATAACTGAAGTATAATGAACTTCGTTCAATTTTCTCCGATAAAATTAAAGGCCAAAATCGATTTATATGCATTAGTTATCCATTTTAATCTTAAGCTGATTTATATTTTTTAGTTTCTTCTGTTTAATTACTTAAAGTTAATTTTTTTGTTTTTTTTTTTTTTTATTGGTAACTTTTGTTTCATTATTTTAATTGTGTCTATTCTGTTACTTACGTCGAAAGTTTAGAAAGCCGTTATGATCTTTGCTAATGAATTTTTCCTTTTTTTTGTTTTTTTTTTTTTTCCTTTTATTTTTTTTTGAATAAAGAATCATTTGCTTCTAAATAATGTGATGGATCAGTATTCATTTATGTATATACATATTGTGTCAACGTAAACATAATGTCAGTATAAATATCTGCAAATATAAGCAACACAAGCACTTAGATTGTCTTGCATTCAGAGTCCTCTCAAGAATCTTCAGAGTAGACACTTGATGTGTAAACTGTGCCAAGTGCGAAAATGTATTTTTTTTTTTTTTTGTTTTTTCTGTTAATGGTGACAAATGTGGAACAATTTCAAACATGTTGTTATATATACACTACCGTATGCTATATACACTTTATATATACACATATATTATCAACAAAATGGATATCTTGCGAAAATGCATGTATGTATGCGTTCTGTTTATGTGTACAATATTAAAATTTGATTGGCTTGGATTTGATGAGGTAATCAAACAATAACATAAAACAATATTGATTTTGTGGCCAGGAAAGCAGGAAAAAAGTTATATTATAATAAATAATTAAACGAGAAAACTGTGTTACATGGCAAAGTAATTGAGACATAGATATGTGGTGAGAAAGGGGGAGATGTAACGACCAAAGGTAATCGGCTTAATTAATATATTCGTTATCTCTCTCTTTTATTTAATATAGCAAAGATGTACGTTTACCCGTCCAATTACAAAGAGCCATGGCTGCCGAAGCTGAAGCAGCCCGAGAGGCTAGAGCCAAAGTGATCGCCGCCGAGGGGGAACAGAAAGCTTCAAGAGCTTTACGTGAAGCGTCCGAAGTTATTGGCGATTCACCAGCCGCTTTACAATTACGCTATTTGCAGGTAAAACTCTTTTCAATTACTTCTTGTTTCATGCAAGGAGTCTTAATAAAAAAAAAAAAGAAAAAAAAAAAGGGGGAACGCAAGAGAAAAAAAAGAAAAGTTAAATTAAAAATGTTTTTTTTTTTCATATTAACAGACTTTAAGTGCTATCTCGGCTGAAAAGAATTCGACCATAGTGTTTCCATTGCCGATAGATTTGATTACCTATTTTCTGAAATCAAACGATGCTGATACAATAAAAACAGCCGCCGATACAGCCCAAGCTATTGCCGATCGAGAAGCTTCGCCGGCTCATGTCGCAAGTACCGTCACACCTGTAACAACAACGGCTGCTATGTAAATTTCCAATATCACAACATTAATTATATTATAAAATCGAGATCACAACCACAAAAAAACAACAAAAACAAAAACCAAAACAAACAAAAAACAACAACAACAACAACAACAACAACAGCAACAACAACAACAATAATTATATAACAATATTCAAACATATACATATATACGAAAAAAGAAACGAAAAGAAAAAAAAATAAAAAATAAAAATAATAAAAAAAAATGAAGAACACAATTATACAATACTTACAAACGAGTGGCATTTATTTGGAAAAATTTAAGAAAAATAAGGAATAAAAAATAAAATAAATAATTAAATAAATGAAATGAATATTTAAACCAAATCATAAGAGGAGCAAAGAAGAGTGTGAATTAATAAAATTAAATGAATAATACTCTTCTAAAAACAATATCAACAATAATTAATAAATAAAAAAAAAAATTAATTTTAAAGAGAAAAATTTTATTGAATTTACATAAACAATCAAAAAAAAAAAACAAAAAATAAGAACGATAACGATTCCAATAAACAAATAAATAAATGATTCTTGAATTCTACTAGAAGATATTTTATTAATTAGACTCATGTAAAAAAAAAAAAAAAAACCAAAAAAATAAGTAAACTTAATTGTTTGACCATAAAATGTTTTACAAAAAAAAAAAAAAAAAAAAAAAAAAAAAAACGAAAGGAAAAAAAAATATTAATTAAATTATTACAACTCTACTGCTCTCCCTCCTTTATAAAAATTGATAAAAGAAAATAACTTTTATACTTAAAAAGCAAAAATAATAATAATAAACTTTGTTTTCATTTAAAATCTAATCTACTTAAGATCTTTAAACGATTTTGTGCCAATTTAACATTAATGCAAAATAATAATTTGCTTTTTTATAGAAGTATTTTCAATTATTTTTTTTCACATTTTTCTGAAATCAATATATCAGTAAATAAATATCTTCTACCATATCAACTGCATTGATCTCAAATACACATAAATTTAATAAAAAATACTAAATGCATTAAAAGCATTTCAAGATAAAAGTTTTTTTTTTATTTTATTTATTCATTTTTTTTTTTTTGTTCACGAAATGATTCTGATCTTCTTACATACCATCAAAAAAAAAAAAAACGGATAAGAAACTAAATATTTATTTTGTAGATTTTTACAATGTAGCGAAGCACTTTAATAAAACTTTAAAATAAAAAAAAAAAGAAAAGCAAAAATTTAAATTAAATAACACACTGCCCGGTTAGGTTTAATCTTTCCGTTCGTATTTGAGGCAAAGAACCTAAGCCTAACCGTTATGCTTAACCATTTTTTTACTAAAGTCTTGAAGACTGCCTTTAAGCATAGTATTTTTGTACATTGTACTCTTCACAGATTTTACGGGACTAGATATCATCGGTCACGATAATTGATTTTGCATTTTTATTGCCTTAACTATATATATATATATATATATATATAGGTGAGTTTGACTACATTACTTATGGCAGATATGATTATATCCTTAATGAGTTTCACTAACATGCATCATATGCATGCTTTTCCGCCAATAACGTAGGAGAGGAACATTTCAATACAGCTGCACAGGTTTTTTTGGATAACTTGCAGTTTAGTCCTGAAAAAGTTGTAAATGTCAGAAATAACTTAGACTCACTCTCTCTCTTTCTCTCTCTTGCTCTCTCTTTCTCTCTCTTGCTCTCTCTTTCTCTCTCTCTCTCTCTCTCTCTTTCTCTCTCTTGCTCTCTCTTTCTCTCTCTCTCTCTCTCTCTCTCTCTCTACCTCTCCCTTTCTCTGTGAAGAAACCTTATCAAAACTCAATTTAAAATTGATAATTGTTACAATCGGTTTCTCTTTTCGACTTTATTTCGATCGCTGATGTTCGTTGAAGCAAGAGAACATATGCCAAACTGCAGTTAACTATCAAAAAAGAAAAAAACCTTTAAATAAATAAAAGGACGGCTAGGTGGATAATAATTAATATTCAAGTTAAAGTCTTGTTTTAATTCCGGCCATATCTGATTGTTATGAAACGACCGATAAGCTTAGAAAACGGCTCGATATGCCTATATGAGGATATGCGGATCCTTAATTTAGCGCTCGTCTATTGTTTTACGGAAAGTCATAGTTGATTTCATTGCATCTCTTTCACGGCTAAGTGGACCCTTTAGTCACATTTTTATTACATAGCTTAACAGCTCATATATCAAGGCTTGTCGGTGAGAATTGATCGATTGATATTAAGTAGTTTTTGATTGCTGACCTTTCATTCTCGCAGTTCATGCAAAAAAAAGAAGAAGGATCTGATTACATCGACGAATTTTGTTCCCATAATTTTTGATAGTGAAGATGTACCGTAATTCCAGCAGGGAAATAAAAGACAAAACGATGATAGCAACTGATGCAAACTGAGAATTTGCTTATATCGAATTTGATCGATTTATCCACAATAAAAAAATGTTCGAAATGACTTTCCGAACAATCTAATATATAGATGTGTTTAGATTGTTTAATTTTACCTTACTATGTTAAATATGACAACTCAAGCGACTCTAATAATTGACGGACGAATGGACATGGATGGCTATGGCTAAGATCAAATCTATATTTCATTAGCGATATTCTTTCTTAATAGTATGTTGAAAATCATGTAAACTTTAAACGAAATTTATATGATACGTATTATTGTGTATTTGATTCGTTATTGTTCAGTTGCTGCCATTCTTTGCCGGTATAGAGCTATAAGATAGATTCTTGCCGAAATAAAATTTATATGAAATACGCAAACTTTAATATTTTGAATACAATTTAATTCGTTTAAGATGATTTTTAAAAAGTAAACTTCACTTTCTTATTGCGATACGATAAGATGTACCTATGTATCTATAGGTCAAAGATTTTTAATGAAATTTAAGCTAACTTTTATATGCCATTGTATTGAGATATTGAAAACAATAAATTAAATAATTGAAAAAACAATTTTGCTTTGATATTGTTATCGTAATTATCTTAATTCATCTAAGCGATTTTAAGCGATCTTTTAACTTTGTCCAATAATTCAAAAACTATAATTAAAACTTTATGAAAACGAATGCAAATTATTTCTTTCATTCCCCTACTTGTTCTATTTTGTTCGAAAAAGTGAAATGAAATATGTGCAGCTTAAAAAAACAAAAAAAACAAAGCAAAATATGAATTCATCAATCATCTCAAATGTAATGCATTCTCACTCGAAATTTCATTTATTGAACTCACATTGAAAGCGACGGATATAGCTAACAATGGCTAAAACTTTTTAAAACTCAAATGCTGATCAATTATTATTATTATTAATTTGATTTCATAACTTTCAACAAAAGATTCTTCTTCTTCTTCTTCTTCTTCTTCTTCGTTCTTGGTCGTTGTTTCCATAGTCATTAAATTGATCGTGATTTGAAATGAAAACTCACTCTATTACTTACGATTAAAATAAAATTTTTTCTTTCTCTCTATGCTCGCGGTTCTTCTAATATCTTCAAATTTCTGCTTACATTTTTTTTTTTTTTGTTTTCGTTTATCGTTGAACCTTTTTCAATTCATTGATTTATGTATAAAAATTTTTCATACATTCTTACGGTATATGTATCTATCTATCTACAATTGATTGATCGAAAAGGTTTGAATCTAATTTCGTCCAATTAAGTGCATTTGTATATATAATAGATATATATCGATCGATATCCATTTTAGATTTATGCTCAGGTCAGGCCCTCGAATGATGATAATGAATAAGAAATATTCAAAGTATTTCATTTGTATCAAGTATCTCATCAAGTAGCGTGAAACACTACTGATTGTTGTCATGTCTCCAAAAAGCACATTCAAATTTATTGTTAGCCATTATGCTAAATGCTCAGCAAATTTATTTCATTTTACTTCTATTCTATCTAATAACTAGTGCACTAGTGCACTGATCTGATGCTAATTTGAATTTAAAAAATAAGTAGAAATATTTGCGTAAAGATTAAAAATTTCTTCAAAAACGGCAGCAAAATAACATAATTAAATAATA